CTGCACTCTCCCAGCTGCACTATGTCCTGCTACCAGACATTTTGGCAAACATCTGGTTTCATATCTGTCCCTCTCCACCTTGCAGAGTTCTTAGACTTGATGGAGATGGAGAAGGAACCGAAGAGGTCATGTAGTTAATCTGTGCTCCAGAGTGTTACTACAGTGAGAGTGTGAAAGAAATTATAATAGGAAGACATTGTTCCTTTCCAAAACTAGGAGTGCACTCTGGTTGGAGTCACCCTCACAGCCAAATCATGTTCCCTTAATGCATAGGGTATAAATACAGCGGCCAACTTTCAGATCAACTTCCTTCTTTCTAGCGTAAATAGGATCTGACGTTACCGCTGCACTCACTGCAACCATAGGTTTATCAAACAATCAACAGTTGTATTAAGATTCAGGACTGATGTTGAGCACATTAAGGATTTATGATTGTATATGTACCAAATTATTTTGGTTAAATTTAGAACATTTATTTCTAATTTATGAAAAAGAGACCTCACATTCTTTTATGATACGATCGATATTGATTGTAAAAGACTAGGCTATATATATTACGGCTGTACGATTAAGCTAATCGCAATCGCGATGTCATCATGTGCGATTACATAACCGCAAAAGGGTGCGATTTAGTGTGATATAAGTGTGTGTGACACTCTGTCCTCTGTGTGCGCTGCAGTCTGCTCATTATCCACACCGGGCTCTTGCATGTGCCTCTAAAACAGGTTACATTCAATCAGAAAAATGATTTATGAGCAGTGTGTGAGATATGAGAAGCCGCCTAGGCCAAAATTCAATACTTCGCTTGCACATACATGTATTCTGTCATTTCTAAGTATGTATGTATCTGCGAGGTGAGTATTTATGTATGCGCAAGGTTAGTATGTATATGCGCAAGGTTAGTATGTACATGCGCGAGGTAAAGTATGGATATAGGTTCATGGGGAGGGAGGATGGGATCAGTTGTACAGTGGTTGAAGATTAAACAGACAATAAATAAATAAGGTAATTATTACAATGGTGAATATATAAAGATGCTAATTAAAAGAGATATTTATACATTATTTTTTGTGCATTTAATTGGATTATTTATTGAGCATTTATATATGTATGTATTTATTTCCCTTTATGTCAGAATTGTTCCTCCATGTATTATTAAAGAATTGTTACGGTGAACAGTGATAATGAATAAATAGCAGCAGAGAATATTGGACATTAATTATTAAACAGATAATAAGGTCCAATTTAATGACTAACTAAGATACTTAGAGGGAGGAGTTATAAAGTTTGATGGCCACAGGCAGGAATGACTTCCTGCAGCGCTCAGTGATACATTTTGAATAGGGGCCTTTCCGAAACTGCTTGCTCCTCCCTCTCCCTCATTACTAACTAGTTTTAGATTGAGGCCTAATTGCCAATATAACTCGTTGATACTAATAATTTTAGCCTCATGTGTGAAATAAAAGTCAAAAAGGGGTAGGGTTAACCCTCACCTGACGGTTCATATTTATGAGATTCAGAAATGTGGTGTGATTGGACAATGATACTCATTAACTAGCCTATAATTACTTTTGTTACATTAGTACAGGAGCATCTCGAATCTAAAAAAAAAATTGAATATGGTGGAAAACTTAACTGTGAGCACCAGAACCAGACTGAAAGATTAAAAATACTAAGTACCTAAGTACGTCTACCTGAGTATTGTTGCTGACATACAGGGATGGGCATTCCCTTTATGACCACAGTGTACCATCTTCTGATGGCTACTTACAGCAGGATAATACACCATGTCACAAAGCTCAAATCATCTCAAACTGGTTTCTTGAACATGACAATGAGTTCACTGTACTCCAATGGCCTCCACAGTCACCAGATCTCAATCCAATCGTGTCAATTTGGACCAAAGTCTCTGAGGAATGTTTCCAACACCTTGTTGAAAGTATGCCACGAAGAATTAAGGCAGTTCTGACGGCAAGGGAGGGTCCAACACGGTACTAGCCAGGTGTACCTAATAAAGTGGCTGGTGAGTGTATGTGCATGACATTATGTATGTATGTGCAAGCGAAGTATTCAAATTTAGCCTGGGGGGCTTCTCATGTTTGTATGTGCATGACAGTATGTATGTATGTGCAAGCGAAGTATTCAAATTTGGCCTAGGAGGCTTCAAGCATTTTTTAAAACAACAACCGTAACCTCCCTCCCCTCCCCGCCCAGGCCCGCAGCTTAAAACACAGCCGAACTCGCCACGAAGCACCGAGAGAGATGCCAGTGCTCTGTGACGGAGACAGGGGGATGTGGTTTGCAGCTGAAGCGGTGAGGCCTACTCTTTATTTAACATCGTAACATTATAATAAAGTTTCAGGTCGATTGGCGAAACCGCCTGGGTCGAGTTTGGAAAAATAGTTTTTTGAGTGATAAACTGAAGTGATAAAAAGTCAAAGCTGCATCTTTGTTTTCTAAGTTAAGACTTTTGAGATAATTTCAAAAACGTAAAGTTGATTGTTAACGATAAAACATTTTAATCGTGATTAATCGCATGACCTTCTTGCGATTGGGGTGGCGGCTGTCTTATGAGCATGTGTTCACTCACACAGACTTAAAAACTTGAAATTACTTTACAAGTCGCATGGAAGCAGCATGGAAAAACACAGAAAAAAAGATGACAGCATATAGTCTGCCGAAGCCTCCCTCCACTGCTCGTTCGGGTAGGTGATTTGCAGGCTGATCAACATCCCACCCCACCTCTGACCCATGGTTTGACTGAGTGCGTTGTTATGGCCCACCTCAGAGGCAAATAGAGGAAACCACGCTAAAGGGATTATCATGAAAGGATGTTTATTAACAAAGGTAATTTACTTTAACGAATATAACAGATAATTTTAAAGCTTAACAAATGTGGCTGGCAAAACATAGTGCCAGGTTAACTTAAACAAAACAGAGAAGTAACATCAGCACGCCGTGGTGCTGGGGAACAGGAAAAAGCAAGCAGTCAGGCTCCGCAAAAGTCAGTAAGAGGTGGGTTTTATGCAATCTGGAGACAGTGGCCAGCTGCCTCTGATCCGATGATCTGATGGCCTCAGCTCCACTCCACCAGGAAGTTCACCCTGCAACAAAACACAGACACACAAACAGAAACAACATGACAGAGGCCCCGGGGCCCTCACAGCGTATTCAGAGCCACTGAGCAACGTACTTTCAAAATAATAAAAACTGCGTTGATGTGCGATAAAATAATCGTCTGTGTTAATTAATTAATGTATGATTAGAACGTGTTAACATGCCCAGCCCTATTCACCATATAATTGCAAACTTTATTCACCATATATATGGAATGGTAAATGGCCTGTAGGCAAATTTCAAATTTTTACACTAATTAATCCAATTAATTGGATTTCATTCATTGGAATTGTGTCGCTTAAACACTAACCATTTTCCCTGTAAGTACCAAATTGCTAAGTCCTTTCCAGAAATCTGGCTAAGAATTTACAGTTACTTTCTGGGAAATTATCTAAAACAATGGGACCTGTAAGTTTTGATTAAAAATCAAGAAAGAACCAAAAGACACTTCCTTTTCAAACTTTAAAAAGGTCAAAATCAGTCACAAATTGCAATGAAAGGGTCTCCCCTTCCTCCCTTACACTTTGTAAAAATACAATCTAGTATTTTCAAATGACTAGACCACTTGGTCTGTGTTTGGGAAACTGTATCTTGCTGGTGATGGATTAAGCAAATAATTTAGTAACTTTTTTAGTTGAGTCTTTGAAGAATTTATTAATAAAAAAGAATAAACAGAGAAGTACTAAAACACATATACAGCTGGTCCAGAGACAAAAGACTCTCACAGCTAAACCTAAACCACAGTAAATGTGGACAGACTAACATACGGAATATAGAAGAAGGAATGGTTAAGGATAAAAACACAATACATATATATCTATAAGACATAACAATAATAGTAATAATATTTGTAATAATAATAATAATAATAGTAATAATATTAAAATTTACATACATAAAAGATTAAATGTAAGAGGACACAATTTTCAGCCCGTCCACTATGAAACATATCCTTAAAATATACAACGTTTGTCTTTATACATATCAGGAGGTGTCAGTCGGTGTATGCACAAAACTCTCAAATTCTCATCAAACAAAGTTGTCTGCCCCACCTCTTTCTGTGAATCTCCCCATGTATGTGTCTGCTCTGTTGACTTTCTCCATCAGCAGGACAATTTGTAGTCGTCAAAAAGACACAGAACTCGTCTACTGGATTTTCCACCTGCAATTCAGTTTACAGCAGCAGGTGCGCCGCATGTGGAGGAGGCTTGTTAATGACGTAGGCTATAAAACAAAACCGACCTGGTAGCTAACAAATGACATCTGCACTGGTGTGTTCAGTGTGGCTTCTAAACTATCCAGCGTTTCCATGTCTTGTAGCGTAATAGACAAGAACTCTACCTGTATTTCTCTGCAAAATGCTAAAATAGGTCACCAAAAATACCGGGGTGGCGCGGCAAAGTAAAGTCTACGTGTGGGAAACACTGCTCATGTTTCTCTTAAGATGTGGATGCTGTTTTTACATCTTTTACCACAAACATCACGGCCAAATGGTTTCTCATGTGTGGACTCTTGTGTGTTTCTTGAGATTTTCCTGATCTGCAAATCTCATCCCACAAACATCACAGCCAAATGGTTTCTCTCGTGTGTGCACTATCATGTGTTTTGTGAGAGTTGACTGTTCTGTAAATCTTGTCCCACAAACATCACAACCAAATGATTTTTCCCCTGTGTGGACTCTCATGTGTTTCTTGAGATTTCCGTGATCTGTAAATCTCGCCCCACAATCATCACAGCTAAATGGTTTCTCTCCTGTGTGAACTCTCGTGTGTTTCTTGAGATTTCCCTGATCTGTAAATCTCGCCCCACAATCATCACAGCTAAATGGTTTCTCTCCTGTGTGGATTCTGATGTGTCTAACAAGATGTGGATGCTGGTTGAACCTTTTACCACAAACATCACAGCCAAATGGTTTCTCTCCTGTGTGCACTCTCATGTGTCTCTTCAGAGTTCCCTGATCTGTAAATCTCTTCCCACAAACATCACAGCCAAATTCTTTCTCTCCTGTGTGGACTCTCATGTGCAGTTTAAGAGTTGACATCCTATTAAATCTCTTCCCACAAACATCACAGCATAATGGTTTCTCTTCTGTCTGGACTCTCATCTCTAATTCTACATTTCGCTTCACTCTGAAACATTTTTTATTATCCAGACGGCTGGAGGACTTTTTTCCAGAATGAGATGTCATGTGTCTCCGAAGAGACCCCTTGTGGTGATATTGTTTACCACATTCAAAGCAGCTAAAGTATCTTTTCCCAGCATTACATCCTGCATCACTTACAGGAGCTTCCTTATATTTCAGAGCATTTACACCTGACTCAGGTGCTCTGGTCTCCTTCCAACCATTGTCACTGTCTTCAGTTTCAGCTTCAGAATCTGACAAAGGTTCTTGCCAGTCATTATCACTGACTTCAGTGTCTGAAGCTTTTTCATCAGTATCTGGTTGTAAATGACTATCTGGATCAAGGTTCCCAGCAGGTTCTGATCCTCCATCAGTTTCTGTTTTTATCTGCGTAGCTGAGCTGCTGGCTGAAGGCTCTGCCTCTCTGTTGTCCTCAGTTTGGCTTTGATGAAGCTGTGGAGACTGAGGTTTCTCTTCCTCATCTTCACTCTTCACAGTAACAGCAGTGAATGGGAACCTGGTGATATCAGCCTCCTCCATCCCATTAAGCTGCTCTCCCTGCTGACTGATCCAGAGTTCCTCCTGTTCTTCTTTTATGTGTAGGGGCTCTGGATCCTCCTGGTCCAGACTGGGGCTCCACTCAGAGGGAACCTCTTCTTTAATCACCAACAGCTGCTGGACATCTGCAGGCAACACTGAAACACACAGCAAAAAATGTTGGCAGCTATTATCTAGGAAACTAATAAAAAAATAGAAATGTAATAAGAACCAATAATGTGGAAGATGGAGTTCCTTTAACAAATATTAGGATACAGGTCAAGAACACATGTAACCAGATGGCAAGTAGTGAGGTAGCCTTCGAAAGTACCCTTTTCCTCAACAAGTCTTCCAAATTAAATGACCAACTGCGTCTATTTTAATGGCTCCCCAGAACGACACATAAAGGATGACGTCGAGTCACCATCAACTTCAGGCCTGAAGGAAAACAAAGTCTTACCTGACTTCTTTCGAGGCATCCCCACTCCACTTGTGATTCTCCTCTTTACAATCCTTGCTTGCAGCTCAGAGATGTATGCATAGGTTTTTTCAGATTTCAGGGCGTATAACCTTTGTCTACTGCGGTTTGTCTTGTGCAGCCTTCTGAAACTGTAATTACACAAATTTTAACCATTCAATAACAGTTACTAGTGATGCAACAGATCTATGACCTGCAGTTTAGCACCGCTGATTGATTGCAGAGTTTCACAGTATGGGAAACAGTTTTTCTGCCGCTGTTACATTTCAAAGAAATAAATACGTGCATTGTGATGCAGAGTTGCAGGGAAAAGAAAAGACAGATGCATGCTATGGTTAACTCTGAAGCTCACCAATTGGTTTAGAATTGAGGAACTGATTTAAAGACATCGCTTTCGCCTTGATTGAGTGAAACCCCGTAGGTCGTGACGTTGGACATTTTCAGTGGTCTAACAGGGACAATGGGCTGCTTGTCATCACAGAAACAGATGATACGATTGTGATGTTTATTCCAGCTTCAGTAACATCGGCTGCCTTCCCTGCGACACAACCTCCGTGCTCGCTGGGGCAGCTACTGTCTCACAAGTGTTGATAGGATCTTACTTGTGACGTTTAACCACAGAGCTCAGCTGTGGGCAGGACATTGAGTGAAACTACGGACAGAGAGAGGCGGCTACATCAGGTAACATTTTTGTTCTGCCTATGTGAAAACAATCCGATCCATGTTGCACTTCCATCAGTTAGCCATTTTAACAACTGATAACCTTGAGTGAACATGAAAATAAATAATCACTTTCATACAAAACATTGATTGTAAATGGGAAAATGAATATAAGTGTAAAACGTACATCTTTTTGCCTTCTGCTGTTTTCATTGTTGGTCGGTTCCGGTGGAAGTTATAGTCCAGAGCGGCAAGCAGAACTCTTGCCTCATAAACTGCGGGAGTGAAGGTGGATCGCTTGCTGATATACATCAATATATGATTCTGGAAAGCCTCTAGGTCTGCAGCTGATCTGATTAAATATATATATATATAGAATTGAAAAATAAGCATAAATTATTTACATCTGTGTGAAACATGTAGCCACACTTTAACTGAAGCATAACTGAAGTATTTATGCACATGCTTCAGCCAGCGCTCATAGAGAACAATGTCCACTAAATCTTTGTGGCACCTGGAGTCTTTCTGGATCCACGCCTTTCCATGTGCTTCTTCCAAGTGCCCATGTTGACACCTGCCATTAGTCGATGTATGACTGTCACAGACATAGTGAATGATGTCAACCCAAGGTGCCTGCGAAAAACAGAACAGCAATATAAAAAAATCCTTCATAATGAAATGAATTAACTAATATAAATGATGTGCTTCCAAAAAACTGCTTGGTTATGTCAGCTTTTTTACACCATCAAAAACAGTTTGTCTTTCAGCCAGACGAGGAGGACAAACTGTCCTTTTTTTTTGCTGCCTTCAGGAGCAGAACAATACATACATAACAACACAGGACATGGATATTCAACTATATTCCATGGGGGGCTGAGAGTAAACAGATTTTCATCCCAACAAAAGATAACACCAGATGATTTCAATGATGAACACCTTCAGCCAGAGAGGAGGAGCCCAGCAGTGAAATCAACTTTTGTTGTCTTTGATTGGAATAAAAACATAAGTACTCTCAGTCAACAATGGCACATAGTTAAATACCCCTGATCACAAGTGGTGGAAAGAGTACTAAAATATTGTACTTAAGCAAAAGTTCTGTTACACTGATTTTTACTGAAGTACAAGTAAAGTTACTGGTATAAAAATCTACTTAAGTAAAAAGTAGCTTATTTAAAATTTATCTCAGAGAAAACGTTACTTAGTTACTTTTCAACCACCTAAAATATCTTATTTATTGGACTATTTATTATACTTACAGTATCTCAAAGTGAGTAAAACCCTCACATTTTTGTCAATATCTGATTATATCTTTAAGAAATGACACTTTGCTACAAAGTAAAGTAGTGAGTGCACAGCTTGTATAACAGTGTAAAATAACACATCACACAGCCATTAATGTCTAAACCGCTGGCAACAAAAGTGAGTACACCCCTAAGAGAAAATGTCCAAATTGGGCCCACTAAGCTATTTTACCTCCCCGGTATCATGTGACTCATTTGTGCTACAAGGTCTCAGGTGTGAATGGGGAGCAGGCAGGTTAAATTTGGTGTTATGGGACAGATTGTGTCCAGGGTGAGATGGATCTGCAGTTATGTTTCCTGCCCGTTTCCTGACTCCTGAATGGAGGGCAGGTTGGCACCGATTATTTTTTTCTGCAGTCCTGATTGTCCGTTGTAGTCTGCTCCTGTCCTTTGTGGTGGCAGATCCAAACCAGACAGTGATGGAGGTGCAGAGGACAGACTGGATGATGGCTGTGTAGAACTGGATCAGCAGGTCCTTAGGCAGGTTGAGTTCCTGAGCTGGCGCAGGACGTACGTCCTCTGCTGGGCCTTCTTGATGATGGTGTCCGTGATGGGCTCCCACTTCAGATCCTGGGAAATAGTGGATCCCAGAAACCTGAAGGATTCCACAGCAGACACAGGGCTGTTGAGTATGGTGATGGGGGGCAGAGTGGGTGGGGGCTCCTCCTGAAGTCCACGATCATCTCCGCAGTTTTGAGCGTGTTAAGCTCCAGGTTGTTCTGACCGCACCAGAGAGCCAGCTGATCAACCTGTCTGTAGGCCGACTCGTTACCGTCCCGGATGAGGCCAATGACCGTTGTGTCGTCAGCGAACTTCAGGAGTTTGACAGATGGGTCTCCTGAGGTGCAGTCGTTGGTGTAGAGGGAGAAGAGCAGGGGTGAGAGCACACACCCCTGGGGGGCGCCAGTGCTGATAGTCCGGGTGCTGGATGTGATGTTCCCCAGCCTCACCTGCTGACTCCCGTCAGTCAGGAAGTCTGTGATCCACTGACAGGTGGAGGCTGGCACAGTGAGCTGGGTGAGTCCGGGATGATGGTGTTGAACACAGAGCTGAAGTCCACGAACAGGATCCTTGCATGTGTCCCTGGAGAGTCTAAGTGTTAAAGGATGTAATGCAGTCCCAAGTTGACAGCATCATCCACTGACCTGTTAGCCCTGTAGGCAAAATGCAGGGGGTTCAGCAGGGGGCCTGTAATGTCCTTCAGGTGGGCCAACACCAGTCACCAGAAGAACTTCATGACTACAGATGTCAGGGTGACGGGCCTGTAGTCATTTAGTCCAGAGATGGAGGATTTCTTGGGGACCGGGATGACTGTGGAGTGTTTGAAGCAGGAGGGAACTTCACACAGCTCCAGTGATTTGTTTTAGATCTGTGAGAAGATGGGGGCCAGCTGGTCTGCACAGATTTTCAGGCAGGATGGAGACGCTCCGTCGGGGCCAGGAGCCTTGCTGATCTGCTGCCTTTGGAAGACGTGGCTCACGTCCTCTTCACAGATCTTGAGTGCAGATGAGGGGTCAGAGGGCGGGGGTGTCAGTGTGTCAGAGGGGAAGATGACTGAAGATTGTGTTGGAGCGGGGGAGAGGCGTGACTGTGGGCTTTTCAAACCTACAATAAAAGTCATTCAACTCGTCTGCCAGTTGTTGAGTGGTTGGGGGATGGTCTCCTGTAGTTTGTGAGTGTCTGCAGGCCTCTCCACACTGACACAGGATCGTTGGCTGCAAAGTTGTTATTTAGCTTTTCAGCATAGCTCCTCTTTGCAGCTGTGACCTCTTTAGTCATTGTGTTCCTGGCCTGGTTGTACAGGACTCTGTTCCCACTTCTGAAGTACTCTTCCTTGGTCTCACGAAGCTGCCTGAGTTTCGCTGTGATCCAGGGTTGTTGGTTGTTGTATGTGCGGTTTTAGTCGGCACACACATGTCCTCACAAAAACGTATGTAAGATGTCAAAGTATCAGTTAGTTCGTCCAGGTCAGTGGCTGCAGCCTCAAAAACACTCCAGTCAGTGCAGTCAAAGCAGGCCTGTAACTCCAGCTTTGACTCGTTGGGCCATCTTTTCACAGTCTTTACAACAGGTTTATCAGATTTCAGTTTTTGCCTGTGTGTCGGGATAAGATGAACCAGGCAGATCTGTAGAAGTCAGAGTTAGTTCTGTTGAGGAGAAGCACTTCGTTCATTTTGTTGGCTAGAGAGCAGACATTCGCCAGGTGGATAGAAGGGAGCGCAGTGCAAAACCCCCGTTGCTTCAGTTTAACCAGTGCGCCTGCTCGTTTTCCCCTGCGCCGTTTCCAAAGGATTCCAGACAGAGCTGCTGCTCCTCCAACTAATAACTCTGGGAAACTTCCAGGTTCGTTAAGGAGCGGTGGAATAGTGTGAGCAGTTGAAAGTCCAATGTTTAAGAGCTCTTCTCTGGTAAATGTTACCAGAGAGGGACGACAGAAAACAGTACAAAGACAAGTCAAGCATGGTGGTGGGAGTGTCCTGGTCTGGTGAACTCCATGCCCAAGAGGGTTAAGGTAGTGCTGGAAAATAACGGTGGCCACACAGAATACTGACACTTTGGGCCCAATTTGGACATTTTCACTTAGGGGTGTACTCACTTTTGTTGACAGTGGTTTAGACATTACTGGCTGTGTGATTTTTAGATTTACACCGTTATACAAGCTGTACACTCACTACTTTATATTGTAGTAAAGTGTCATTTCTTCAGTGTTGTCACATCAAAAGATATAATCAAATATTTACAAAATGTGAGGGGTGTACTTTTGTGAGACACTGTATATAATTAAATTGCAGGCTTAAACAATTTGATGAGGGCACAAAGCCAGATTTTAGTTTGTTTGACAGATACTTTGCCATGTTAGAGACCTTTTATGTTATGCAAATGTTTTTGCTTCATTATTAAACTGTGGCGAACAGATTAGACTATGGCGCAGTGAGCTGGGGAAATGGGAAACACTTCTACACATTCCTATTTAGGCTACATTCAAACAGGTGGTAATTTTAATGGGACTTCATAGCCGATAGAATAAATGTCTTTTTTTATTAACATAGGCCTAAGCATAATTAATCAGCAGGTTGCTAGCGCCAACCAACATTAGCAATGTCATGCACTGATGTCTTTTGGGCTAATTTGAGCAAAACCTCTTACCAAACTAAGAAAACTTATATTAC